ACAGTAAAGAATCCAGGGGGAGGGTCCTGGAGCTTGTCTTCCCCCCAAGAAGTGAAAGGCCTTGGGTCTCCAGATGCAACCGCTCTCAGCGTTTCCCGAACTCCAAGTGCCCACTGACCAGACTGACAAGACGCAGCACAGGGACTCAGAGGCCAAGGAGGGAAGCAGCCAGACCCAGCTGCCCCCTCTGCCTCCCTCCCTGTGCCATTGCATTGGCTCGCCCGACTGGGGCGTGTGTCTGGATGTCTGGAATATTACAGAGCACAGGGGCTTGTGGGGAGTGTGCTTGTCTTCTAGAGGCCGCATCTGAATCTCTCAGGCAGGAGCGTGAATGTAGATCACAGAGTTAGTGTCTGTGACTCAGGCCTTTGCAGAGAGAACACGTGGGGCTGGAGTTCACCCCTGCAGAGCCTCCCTTGCCGTGTGCCCCTCCCGGCAGTGCGACCCCCCACAGGGAGGGCCCCATCTGCTGGAGGCTCGGTGACCTGTGTCAAATGAGCAGGCGCTCGGTCACACTCCAGAGCCCGGAGGAGGCTGCCCGGCTCTGGGAAAGCCCGGGCAGCTCCAGGGCTGGGGGTGGGCTGAGCAGGGGCCCCGCTGGGGAGGGAGGGCCACAAGCTTCTGAGACTGGCGGCAGCCTGGCTGGGAGCTGCCCTCCGCAGACAAGGAAAGTGAAGAAGGAAAAAAAAAAAGAAAGAAAGAAAGAAAAATATATATATATATATATATATATATTAAGGCAAGGGCCAAACTCTGAGCTGGGCATGGGCCCCCCTCTGCCTTCTGACCCCTTGTGTAGGATATATTAGTTCCATGGTGGGGGGGCGGGGAGATACTATCTGTGTGTCTCCATGACGCGCAGGGCTGGCCTCTTTGTATCTGAGCACTGGGGGAGACAGTGTGAGTGTGTCTGTGTGTTCACATTTGCGGGCACCAGGGTGTACCTGTGTGTGGGAACTGGCCTGCCAGGTGAGAGCTTCCATGCTTGTGACCCCTGGGCCAGCAGGTCTCCGATATTTCTGTGTCACTGAAGCAATGCCTACTCGAGCCTCCTGCAGCCCGTGTGCACATTCTGGGCATGTTTCCTTTGGGACGCACGTCTGTATTTATCGTTGTGTGTTAGTTTGTGTGACTCTGAATTCCAGCCTAATGGGATGACTCCATGTGTCCCTACTGTGAATCTGGGTGTTTGTCCCTAGGCTAAATTGCATGTCTATATCTGTGTGTTGTGTGTGTGAATGCATGGCCATCTGCATGCCTAAACCGTTCAGCGTCTACATGGGTCAGGTGGGAGTCTGAGTGCCATGCCCCAATTTCTCCCCGCCAGCTCTCGGGGGGGGGGTTCCCCTGGAGAGGGGCTGTTGAATTGTGGGCATCTCTGCCAGTGGGCATGTAAGAGCCCCTGGCGTCCTACCCAAACCTCCAGAAGCAGAAGCAAGGAGGATGTCAAGACCTCTGGGGGGAGCCTAACTCTCAAATACAAGAAACTGTTAACTCCAGACTAAATCCATGCATTATAGAGGGTCTAAAACTTCCAAAACAGAGAAAGGAATGTTATCCTTACCTAGTCCACACAGCCAGCCCCGAGGGTGCTAACACTGGAGCTTCGGCGTCGTCCTGAGAAGCAGGGATCACTGTCTTATTTTAAGATGACAAAACTGAAGCTAAAACCAGTGAAGCAGACGGGCCAAAGTCACAGATCTGCTGGGGGATGGGGGTAGGGGGGAATTGGGAAGGAGTCTTGCTGCCTGACAAACTGGTCACCTAGGAGCCAGGCTTTGCTGCAGACACCCCTCAATTCAGTACACACCTGAGAACCTGGCTTCAGAAGCCCCAGCTGGCCCTGGCCTGCCCCCACAGAACTACCAGGGATGGGGCTGTGGGTTCTCTCTGCTGTGACCGCCAAAGCCAGTGCCCCCACTGGCGCCCGCCCCCATCCCACAGCAGTGGGAGCAGGCGTGATGAAGAGTGGGACCTGCAGCCTCAGACAAGCCCAGTTTCTTAAATTTTTTTTTTGTTTATTTATTTGACAGAGATCACAAGTAGGCATAGAGGCAGGCAGAGAGAGAGAGGAGGAAGCAGGCTCCCCGCCAAGCAGAGAGCCCGATACGGGGCTCGATCCCAGGACCCTGGGATCATGACCCGAGCCAAAGGCAGAGGCTTAACCCACTGAGCCACCGAGGCGCCCCAACAAGCCCAGTTTCTTCATCTCCACCCCTTATTATAATAATCTCAGGGCCCTTCTACAAGGCTGAGAGGTGGAGGTAAAATGTGAATAAACGCAGAAGCACTCGCTAAACCATCGTGCCCATGGGCCACTGTTCTTCAAGTCTCAGTGGCAGTTCAAAGGCTGGACATCGTACACCTGACCACTGTCCAGATACTTCCCTTCCTCTAACAGGAACTGAGAGATTCACAGAATCAGACACAGCTACAAGAGCCTGAGAGCTCAGGCCGGCCAAACCTCCACAACCCCACTCTACAGATAAAGAAACGGAGATTTGCAGGGCGCCTGGGTGGCTCAGTGGGTTAAACCCTCTGCCTTTGGCTCAGGTCATGATCCCAAGGTCCTGGGATCGAGCCCCACATCGGGCTCTCTGCTCAGCAGGGAGCCTGCTTCCTCCTCTCTCTCTGCCTGCCTCTCTGCCTACTTGCGATCTCTCTCTCTCTTTCTCTCTCTGTCAAATAAATAAATAAATCTAAAAAAAAAAAAAAGAAAGAAAGAAAGAAAAGAAACTAAGATTTGCTTAGAAAGAGGGGAGTAACATGCCCATTCACTGGGCACTCACAATAGAAACAACCAGAGTAAAAGCCTTTTCTGAGAGCTTTTCACCCCCATTGTCTCAGACTACCCGCTGACTCCCCTCAGGAGGCAGGTGGGCTGCCTACAGTACAGTTAGTCCCCATTTACAGGGAGGAAAACCCAGAGCCTCTGACACTGGACTAGAGCTATTCTTGCCCAGAAAGATGGTAGCAGGTCCAGGTTGGAAGCCCAAGCTTCAGTGTCACGCAGGTCAGGTTAGGGCCGGCGTGAGAGGCGCCTTCAATACAGAACTCCCACCTTGGCCCTACCTCCTGGGCTTGGGGAGGGGCCAGGAAGACAAGTGCTTTATGGTCTTATGAAAGAAAGGTGACTCAAGGTGACCATGTCTTGGGCCAGAGTCCAGGAAAGCCAAGCATCCCTAGCTGGGTTCAGACACAGAGGGCCTAGAGGAGCAGTCTGTACCCAGTATGACCCCTGTCACCACGGACTCTGCCCCAGCCACCCTGAGGATCATTCCCACTGCAGCTGTTGTCTGAGCCCCCATTACCTTTATTCATTCACTGAGGCTCTATTTACAGTCCTAACTTGCCCAGTAGGGTCTAGCTGGGCCCCCAGTTCAGTTCTATGATCTGGGACCCCAGGGCCCTGGAAACTAGGGCTCCACTGGAGGTAAGACCAGACGGAGGAAAAAAGTGGGATGTCAGGTGGAAGCCTCCTCGGAACCCAAGCCTCAGTGCAGGAAAGTGGAGGCTACAACTCATTACACTCGGCCTCCAGCCCAGTGTGGGTCTTAGAGGCACGGAGTGGCTGCGTTGAGGTCCAAGTCCACTGAGGCTCTTTCAAGGAGCCCTCACACTGCTGGGGGGATGAGAAGATCCCGGAATTGCACACCCCACCTTCCTAACAAGGCTTCCTCCATCTCAATTCCCTTTTCAGCAGCCCCCAGCCAAGTCCGTTAAACTCCAGCACAGGGCTCCAGGGAGGCTGGACAGCTCCTGGCCTGCATGCAGGATTTCTGAAGTGCCAGCCGCCCTTTCCCAAGTCCACGCCACTCCTCACCTGGAGCAAGTTTCGCGTCCGGGCATGACCCGGTCATGACCTCGGCCAATGAGCCAGTAACGCAGAGGGAAGGAGCGAGAAGGCGGCAGCCGCGTGGGACAGATACCCGGGGGCCCAGTATGTCCACCACCCCCGTCGGCGGCGTTTTCCCCAAGCCTCGGTCTCCACCTCGAGGTCCTCTCACTCGGAAAGCCCGGAACGCGGCCTGGTTACGGGAGCTCCCGTCTCCCCGCAGCATCGCAGCATCGCAGCATCGCTGCGGTGCGGACCCCGAGCCGCCCGCGCAGTTCTCACCTGGTCCGCGTAGCCGGGAGGAAGGGGAACCTGTACGAGGCGGAAAGCCAGGGCCGGTCGGACTCGGCCCGCGCCGGACGCGCTCTCGGGGCCGCCGTAGGTTGGCGGAGTTGCGACGCTAGGTCTAGAAGGAGAAGAGGGAAAACGGGACGGGCCGGGGAGGCGTGCAGAGGAGAGCTCCGTGCCGGGTGGAAGCGCGGGAGGCGAGGAGGCCGAGGGGAACAACCGCGCCAGAACCGAGCCGGGACCCGCGCCGCCTCCCGCTCGCCGCCGCCGAGACCCGCGGGAATCCCGGCCCGCCCGCAGCGGCACTGCGGAGGGAGGAGAGCGGGGCTCCGCTGCTTCTCGGAGCCCTAGCGCCTCCCGGAGCCCGCAATCCCCGCCGCCGCCTCTTGGCCGCCCGGGCAGGAGACGGGCGGGAATTCAGTTCGCGTGGAGTGTGGGACCTGCCGGGCTCCGAGTCTCCTGCTCTGGGGGTAAGCGGGGCCCACGCAGCCAGGACGAGAGGGGGTGCGGTCCCAGTACCACCCCCGCGCCACTCCCCACGTGGCGGCCGCGCCCCCGGGGCGTGAGTATGTACGCGGACGGTAGGGGGGCCGTGAATGAAGCCCCAGCGGCCAATCAGCACGGCGGGCGCGCGGGACCCCGGGAGCGAGGCCCAATGGCGAGCTCTGGGCGGCCCGGCCGGGCGGCGGGCGGACGCGGGGGGCGGGGGCCGTGGCCGGGGGGCGGGAGGCGGCTCCGCGGGCAGCCAATGGGCGGCGGGTGGGGTGGGGCTCCGGAGCGCCAAGCGGGTCCGGGCTTTAAGCCGGCGGAGCGCCGCGGCGGGGCCCGCAGACGGAGAGGAGCGGCGGCGGCGGCGCGGCGCAGGGCGCGGGGCGGCATGGCCACCACCGCGCAGTACCTGCCGCGGGGCCCCGGTGGCGGAGCCGGGGGCACGGGACCGCTTATGCACCCGGATGCCGCGGCGGCAGCGGCGGCGGCGGCGGCCGCCGAGCGGCTGCACGCGGGGGCCGCGTACCGCGAAGTGCAGAAGCTGATGCACCACGAGTGGCTGGGCGCGGGCGCGGGCCACCCCGTGGGCCTAGCGCACCCCCAGTGGCTACCCACGGGAGGAGGCGGCGGCGGCGACTGGGCCGGGGGCCCGCACCTGGAACACGGCAAGGCGGGCGGTGGCGGCACCGGCCGAGCCGACGACGGCGGCGGCGGAGGAGGAGGTTTCCACGCGCGCCTGGTGCACCAGGGGGCGGCCCACGCGGGCGCTGCATGGGCGCAGGGCGGCACGGCACACCACTTGGGCCCGGCCATGTCGCCGTCCCCAGGGGCCGGCGGGGGCCACCAGCCCCAGCCGCTCGGGCTGTACGCGCAGGCGGCCTACCCGGGGGGCGGTGGCGGCGGCCTGGCCGGGATGCTGGCGGCGGGTGGCGGCGGTGCGGGGCCCGGCCTGCACCACGCGCTGCACGAGGACGGCCACGAGGCACAGCTGGAGCCGTCGCCTCCGCCGCACCTGGGCGCCCACGGACACGCACACGGACATGCACACGCGGGCGGCCTGCACGCGGCGGCGGCGCACCTGCACCCGGGCGCGGGCGGCGGTGGTTCGTCGGTTGGCGAGCATTCGGACGAGGACGCGCCCAGCTCGGACGACCTGGAGCAGTTCGCCAAGCAGTTCAAGCAGCGGCGCATCAAGCTGGGCTTCACACAGGCAGACGTGGGGCTGGCGCTGGGAACGCTGTACGGTAACGTGTTCTCGCAGACCACCATCTGCCGCTTCGAGGCCCTGCAGCTGAGCTTCAAGAACATGTGCAAGCTCAAGCCGCTGCTCAACAAGTGGCTGGAGGAGACCGACTCGTCCAGCGGCAGCCCCACCAACCTGGACAAGATCGCGGCTCAGGGCCGCAAGCGAAAGAAGCGCACGTCCATCGAGGTGGGGGTGAAAGGCGCGCTCGAGAGCCACTTTCTCAAGTGCCCCAAGCCCTCGGCGCACGAGATCACCGGCCTGGCCGACAGCCTGCAGCTGGAGAAGGAGGTGGTGCGCGTCTGGTTCTGCAACCGGCGGCAGAAGGAGAAGCGCATGACCCCGGCGGCTGGCGCCGGCCACCCGCCCATGGACGACGTTTACGCACCCGGCGAGCTGGGGCCGGGCGGGGGCGGTGCATCGCCGCCCTCGGCGCCCCCGCCGCCCCCGCCGGCCGCGCTGCACCACCATCACCACCACACACTGCCCGGCTCCGTGCAGTGACCCCGCGGGCCGGGCCGGGCCCCCGCCGGCGCGCAGCGAGGCGCCGCGCGGCCTGAACTCTTTTTGTTCGGTTGCTTTGGATTTTACAAAAAGCCCAGAAACTTTCGAACAAAACCAAACACCCGGACGACCCTCTCTGGCGAGCGGCGAAGACAGCCGATAGGCTGCGTCGCCCGAGCCCCGGGAGAGAGGAGCGAAGATCCGGAACGCGCCAACTCACCCCGGGCATCCTGCCCGCCGCCTGCTCCCTGCCCCCATCCCCTCGACGACCCCCGCCCCTGCCCCACCCCGGGCTGTTCGGGGCCGGATCCCGGCAGCGGCCTCCCCACAGCGACAGGTAACGCGGTACGGGGTTAGGGATCCCCGGGAGAGAGGACGAAGAGAGGAGGGTTCCCTATCCCTCTCCCCGGCGCGGACTCCCAAGCCTGCGGGTCGAGGGTGGGGGACTGTCACTTAATTCGCTCCACGCCTCTTCTCTCCCACAAGGATGCGCCCCATCCCCTTACCCTTTCCCCGGGCTTGGTTTTTTACGGTTTTTATTTATTCATGGAGCCTCCCGGCTCCTGGGGTCCTTCTAACTCCGCCCGCGCCCTTAATTTAAATCGCTGTATACTGTATTTATCGGGGCCCCGGAGGGGAGGCCGCGAGAGCCGCGTCTGTGTATAAAAGCAGGAAATAGCCAAAGCTTTAATCTAGCCTAATTTATTTTTTTCCCTTACCTTCCCTTGCCCTACCCCCCAAAAAGCAAAACAAAAACAACAAAAAAAAAAAACCTAACAAAAAAAAATTCGAGTGTTCATTTTTCGTTTCGTTTTATCCGAGCTGCGATTCGGTTCCCGGCCACGCGGGAGGGGTCTGCGCTCCCACACACAGCCCACGGGAAGAGGCTTCTGCCCGGCTGCAGACTGACCGCTGCACAGCAGGGCCCCCGCTCCCCGCGGGGCCCTGCCCTCCTGGCCACCGACAAACGAAACTTGAAAAAGTTGGAGATATTTTTTAACCAGCTGTAGAAATAAGCCGTTCCCCTTAGAACCTTCTGCCTGATTCCCTGCAGCTTCCGCCTGCTCCCTTTCCAGCCCCACCTGGGATGCGGGATGCTGGGGCGGCCAGGAGAAAAATTCCCCAAGTTTGGGGTGAGGTGGGAACCATGTAAATATGTGAGATATGTACACACATTTTGTGCTTGGTTTTTATTTTTGGTTTTTCCGGGCTGCCCTCCATCCCCATCGGAAAGGATTTTGTACACTGAATAATCCGAAAAAAAAATATTTTAATATGATTTCCAGATTTCTGACTCATCTCTATTTATTTTCTGGATGTGTTTGGAGCTTCCCCCTTCTCCATTTCTTGTTCTGTTTGTTACCGTTTGGATTTAAATTTTGTTATTTTATTTTTCTTATTTCTCAGAACAATGTTTTGGTGCATTCTTTGTATCTTTATTGCAAAAAATAATAATAATAATGTAGACTGGGAAGTTCCCTTTATATTTATGTTATAGTAAATATTTTATTACTCACATAAACATGTACCCCAGGGCTGTGTCCTGTCCTTTTTACTACCAGGGTTGGGTCGGTGTGCGGGTGAAGTGTTGGGATACCCTGGCTAACCTCCCCTGAAGTTCTGGCCACACTATCTGGGACAAAGGTGACCACGCAGACCTTCTTTCAGGCCCCTACGAGGACTGCCTGCTACTTGGGCAACGAGTGAGCGTAGGGGAAGCTGTCTCGTGTCCCCTCCTGTAAACAGACTATCCTGAGACCAAACCAGGGCCTCCGACACTGCAGACACCACACTGAATCTGGGACAGACAGCCATTCCTCAGGTACAACTCAACTGCTGCTCAGCCAAGGAAGAAGCCTGCCTCACCTGGACCAGCAGCCTGGCACCTCTGAGTGCCCCCCCGCCCCCAAGACGTCAGGCCCTGGCTTCAGTTTCACTTTATGCTCCACGTGTGGAGTCCAGGCCAGCTCTACCCTTCCAAGTCAGGGGGCTGTTGGAAGCGGGGTCAGGCCACGTCAGCCTGCCCCAGCTGGCTCTCCACCCACAAACACATGATGCCCAAACCTAACCTGGATCCACGGGGAGTCCTAACAGCTTCCACAGCGGCCCTGCAGGATGTAAGTGGGCCTGGGAAGGGAGTCCTGCCTGCTTGCTTAGGCAAAACAAACCTCTGCAAACAAACCGTCTGGCCCAACTTCCCTCTGTGGAGGAATGAGAGCACAGACAACTGTGCCCCCACAAAGCCCTCCCATCTCTCCAGGGAGGGATACCCAAGGAACCCCCCACCCCCAACACTCAGGGAGTGATGCGTATGCCAAAAGGAAGATTTGGCGGTTGTGCAGCCCTGACCTGGGGGCGGGGGGTGGGGAGACATAGTCTCAGACATCTCCCCCCTCCCCAGAATCCTGATATGTGGGGGTGGATCGGGGTTCCAGGGCCAAACCCCAAGATTTACCTGTGTCCCCATCAAGATCCTCTTTTTCCTTTAAAGCAACTTTTAAAGAGACGAATGAAATAGCTCTTCTTGCCTCCTCACTAGATGCTGTTCCTTCCCCTTCTCAGGAGAAACCACATGAGGTTTCTTTCACTCTTCATGGACACAAAGCCTGAAGCAGCACAACTGCTTGATGGGGGTGGGGGGAGAAAGTTGTGTCCTCAACGAGTGTGTGTGTGTGTGTGTGTGTGTGTGTGTGTGTGTGTGTGGCCCCCTGCTTCCAGGGAAGCAGCCCAAGCCCAGGGCTGGAAGAGGCCTTGGCTCCAGCCAACGCATCCAGGCACCCAGACAGGTGTTCCCCGGCCGCCAGCTTGGTGGTCCCCAACCAAGCTGAGGCTTTGGGATGATGGTACCAGGCTGAGAGTTTCCAGTGACTTTCTGGGCTCTGACCCTCAGTCTCAGGAGGAACTGTCTCTGCAAGTACAGCGGCCGCTAAGATTTTCCAAGGCTCTACTCACCACTGCTTTCTTTTTCCTCCCTCCTTCAGTCCAGCCTGATGGGCACTGAGCCCTGTGATTGGCACCCATGTCCCAGCCATCGCCCACCCTGGCGGGCCAGTGAGCATCCTCAGGCTTACAGATGGGGCCAGGGATGTCACGACCAGGTGACGGCATGGCCTCCATTTCCTGCTCCACTAAGTACAGAACTTCAAATCAGTCCCGCACTCCCCCACACTGTCTCCTTATTTCTCCATTCCTGGATTTGTCCCAGCCTCGGGGCCCTGAAATGGAAGCAAGCGAAGCTCAGGGCTCCCTGCCGTCTGCTCCACCCTGAGCCTCAGCAGGTCTGGAGGTCGGGAAGGCGACAGGGAATACGGGGGCCTTTCACTGGCCTCTGCCTGCAGCTGACACCAATTGACTGATTGATTTCCTAATTGTCTGCTTAATCCCGTACAAGAGGGTGGGTTTATTATTTAAGCAAGTCAACTCAAAAAACAGCAAAACAATGTGGCCTCCCAAGAACCAGCGGCAGCTGAGGAGAACAAAAAAATGGGAAGAAAAAAAAAAGTGGAAACAAGGACGGAAGAAAAGCTTCCACACTGTGAAGATTTTTACTTAATAAGACAGCAGCCTAGGACAGATACCCAGGGACCAAGCCCTTGGTCACAGAAGTCCCCAGGGCTCCTTTCCCCAGTCTCCAGCCCGGGGTGACTATAGGACCCACAGCACATTTGACTGTGGAAGGAGAAACCAGAGGGAGAGAGAGATTTGGCCCTGGCGTCGTCTTCCCTCCCTGGCTCGAGTATGGGTACGGTTTAGGAAAGGTCTCGCCATCCCGCGTGGATGCGGAGCCACCGCTCCCGAGAGCCTCCAACTTGCCCTCCTTCAAGGGAGGCAGACAGTCCTGGCATCAGCATGCAAGGAAACCCAAGTGTTCTCGAGCAGAAAGCGTCCTCTGAGCCCATGTCTCTTCCCTTCTCTCTTGAAGAAAAGTATTGTCTATGATCATGTGGCCACAGATTGTGTTCGTTAAGAGAGCATCTCTCTCCCCATAGGAACCTCGGTGTGTTGGTGTGTGAACCACTGTGCCTACAAATCCGAGCCACTCCCAGAGACCACACTACGCCACGAATGCTTAGAGCTGAGAGAACACTGCTAGTGTGGGGGGAGTGTGGGGGGTGGCTAAAATGGGAAGAAGGAAGGTGGCCACTGTGGTCACCTGTGCTCCCCAAGGCAAACACAGAAGGTGCCTGGCCCTAAACCCCAAGGACGTCTGTATTCTCCCCCCAACCTCCTGCCCCAGGAGGTTGTGCTGGCTTGTATGTGGCATGGCTCAGGTCCCATGCAATCATCCCTTGACTCCAGGACCCGACTGGGCACCCACAGGACTCGCTGACTCCCAACCACCGGTACCTACTCCCCAGAGCTGTTTGGAATCCAGTCTCCTCTGATGAGGCTCTGCATGTGGGAGGGTCAAGATCCTAGTGATGACCCAGGTTCAGGCTTTTCCCAGTAAGGCTTGAGCTCCAGAAAGCTCCAGATATGAGACCCATCTGAGCAAGGGTAGGAGTGAGAGCAGTTGGCTGGTTATCTGGCCCAGCTGCTTCCCTAAGCTTAGCAAACAGGAGTCACCCAGGGCCTCCAGCTTAGTGACTGAAGTCAGAGGAGCCGACAGTCTCGTCCCTGGAGCTACTGTTTGGCCGGCACTTCCGGGACTCCATGTGGGAGGACTGCCCTCTATTGGTCCCGAGCTGGGACATGGCCACGGTCACCAGGGCCAAGCTCACAGCTAAACATCCTCCCAAAGTTCGGCTTCAAGTTGGCTACTCTATGGGGGGTCAGGTGCCAGGTAGAGCAGAGGCAACTGTCACCTCCAAGAAAGCAAGCCTGAGTCACACACACACTCACACACAGGCTTGCCCACACCCTTCCTTCGCCCATCACCCCACCCATTCCCCCAGCCATTCTCAGGAATTCGCCATCACACTGCCTCCTCTCTCTCTCCCACTCACACCCATCCCCAGCCCTCCTCCCATCAGCCAACTAAAACCCCGAGCCCGCCCTTG